ATAAACGTGGGATTATGAATTATATGGAGAACGTCGTACATAGAAAACATGCAGTAATGTACCCTGAGTGTAAACCTTAGACTCATTCATCGTGAAGCGATTTGCAAAGATATAAATATTAATATAAAGTTTAATAAAACGTTACACTCACTTCAGTTGTTCTAGAGGTTCAGCAGGAACACGAATATCTGGTACCGATTCTTTATTCAGGAGCAGCTGCTTAGCAAATCCAGCTTTATACTGACCCTCGTTTATAAAGCAGTCTGCTGAGAAATGATTCGCGCAAACATGAGAGCATTGACGTTGCTCGTGGGGAATATTCCCTTCGAAAACAAACACAGCCACTGCGTCTTCAGCGGTTCGGATTTAGGAACATTAAAATGACTGCTGTGTTCGTTATTAGACCCAAGAACAGAACACCACAATCGCTTAGACGCCATTCTGCTCATAGACAGTGCTCCAGCATATCAACAATGAGCGCGCCGGTCCGCGCAGACTATGATTGACAGCTCTCATGAGCGAGGGCGGGTCTGTGTTGAAACGCGCCTATCAATCAACAATCGCGGGAGGGGCGTCCGACCGTGTGACGTCACACGGTCGAACGGCTCGATTTGAGGCAGGGGAAAACATATAAGGAGATTAAAACAAAACCACTGGATGGATTTTTATCATTATATGATGGTTGTGTCCAGGCACTGCCAACACACATTTCAGTACAATCAACTTAAAAAAGTGCATGTACCATTATATGACCCCTTTAATGTGTAAGAGTCGATTTATATGTTATTTCGCAGTATATCCCCCTACTGGACGCATCAGGAACAACAGGGGCGTAAAACTGTCAGGGGCGTAAAACTGCCAGGGGCGTATATCTGCCGGCTCCAGGTCTGCAGCCTCCCCATATAGTGTTATATTGACGCTAAAGGGTGCCATGTGTGTCGGATGTAGACGGCAAAAGCGTCAGTATATGACGCCTTGGGATGAGAATGCGTTGGTCATACTGTCAGCTTCACAGATCTGATTACGGCCTACGGAGAGCTGTCCCAAAGAAGTGACGGAGCATCAAAATTATTGAGAAGACTCTTTTAAGATACTTTTAATGTTGGCAGTTCCCTTGAGAAAAGATGTTTACTTCCACTTTTGATTTCAGTTTAATCTCATATTTATAGTGCTAAGGAATATACAATGAGATGAAATCAAAATTGGAATCTTTGATCTGAAAAATATGTTTATTTTAAAATGGTTTATGCAATGATTTAAACTATAGTGATTTAATTTATACGAATATACATACTGATCAACGTCATACAATATATTAAGCACAGCAGGAAGCCTCGGGGCATGCATTATTTATTAATAATAATAAAAAAACTTCCCAACACTTTCATAAAACTTAAGCTAATTCCAACATGAGCGTGCTTGTAAAAAGTGAAATAAGTGTGCTTTTCTCCATGTTTTAAAATAAAAGTTCAAGAATGTGACACTTGTGAGAACGCGTCGCGATACATGCAAAATTGATTTTTTACCATATTTGTTTAAAATGTGGTATTGTTGGCTAAATTAAATAATCACATAAACAATCATATCTCTTCACAATACTTGGATTAATCCACGCATTTAATATGGATTTATGAAGTTTTGGTTACCTGCACTTTCAATGGAGGGACAGAAACCTCTCAGGTTTCATTAAAAAAATACAATTTATGTAATAGTATAAATGTCTATTTACACCAAGTGAAATGAGTCAGTGTTGTTGGCAGAGGGTATTTACTTATTTTATTTTTACCCAACTCATGCTTCTCCTTTTTCCCATCGCATCAGCTCGGAAAGGTATTTATTTTACCAAAAAATTTGAAATATCTTAATTTGTCTTTTGAAGATTAACCAAAGTCCTATGGGTTTAGAAAAACATTAGGGCGAGAGCATTTCCCACATGTCTAGTACAATTATGTGTTTTTGTTTTATTAATACAGTGTATACTTTTTTCTTGATTTACTCTGTGAACTGTGACAACATGCCCCATAGGTGGGGTTCACTGTAACCATATGACAGATTAACATGTTATCTGAGCTAATCAAACAAGTATACAAGACAAACTAAAATATCTTCTCATTAAACACAATTATTAACTTTTTTATATAAAATAATGGCATTTTTTAATAATTAAAAATAACCTATTTTTTTAGTTTCACAACAAACACCCCAAAACACAGCCATACAACATAGTTCAAAACATAATGATAATGAATCATTTCTGAATATTGACTCTCAGTCTTTATTCACCTTTTTCTCATGGTTTCTTAATATAATTAATTTAGTACAGAATATAATATCATATTTCTAATAGGGGCTCATTGGAACACAGTGTGACAACATGCCCCGCCTGCGCAACTGGGATTTAAACCCGGCTAGTAAAAGAAATGTATTAAATAAATGTTCAGTGATATCTGCCAATGATATATAGTTTTGATATGGCAACTAGTAAATACATTACGTTTCATCATACTGACATGTGTGGAAGTATTTAAAACAAGTGTGTGACAACTAGCCCCGTGTTAGGTTGTGTCCCGCTCACCCCTATATGATGACACAATTTTCATGTTTTGCGTAATTAATCCCTTTACCTAATTTATTCCCCAATTTAATCTGTTTAGTAACCTGGATTTGTTTCGTTGTGTGACGGCAAACCTTGCAATGAAATCCTGACTTGGTGTTGTGAAACTCTATTTGTTCGATATTGGAAAAAGGGGGATTTGATGCGATTTTCTCATCCAACAAATTGCCTGGCACTGGGAGATTAGTGTTTGACCCCGTGCTCATCTGGGGGCCCTCACCTCCTCACACGGGCTGCTGTCAGTGCCGGATCACGACTCATTGGGGCCATTGTGAGACTCACCGGGGGACGGCCCACGTCTCTCACCAGGGGCCCGCGCTCTGCCTTTCATGTCGTTTCATCTGTCATGGTGTCTTTTTGCTCAGCAAGGGAACGATCAATGCTGACAGATTTAATCTTTGTAAGGGGATATGCAGCGCAGCACTATTAATGTTTGAGTCCATACAGTCTGATTAATGTTGACTCTAGCAACACGCAGTACGGGAAACTGGGAGAAAAAGGGGGAAATGTGCCTTTGGGTTTCTGCTTTATGACAAATTTACATTTATAAAACTGAAAGGAGAATATATTAAAAAATGACTGATAAATCCACACACAACTGCCAGTATGAGGAGTCCATTATTCACAACAGTATGTTGAGCGGAAGTGACTAAATCTAAACCGTAAAAGAGGATGTGAAGGTTTTGCTGCATGTTCAAAACTCATCACAAATGATATAAATACAAAGTATAACTAATGATTAGACACAAAGATTGGACTGTTACCTGGAATTACTGAACAAATTATACTGAATTGCACACAGCATATTTGTTATATTCAAAACATTATTACTACTTTAATCTCTTAATGTTATGATTTTATTCACATAAAAAGCCAATGAGATTATTCTCCAAAAAGTATGACTAAATCCATGTCATTTTACAAATAATTAATTTGCAATATCCTGTTCCCTTTCGAGGGAACTCAACGCTTGTTGTCAGAATGCTTGCGCGGGACTTCAGTCTCTGAAGCATGTGTGAAATCACGGCAATGCTGTTGGCCAACGGCAGTCACAAGACGTGAAATGGTGCGCCATTATGACTATAAAACGGTGTCTCATTAGACATCATTAGCTTGTTTGTCTTCAGGAAGCGTTATTTGTGAAATTGTTTGCCTTTTTTATTGTTGTTTGTCAAAATAAGAAATAAAAATGGGATGCATTTTCTGAGCAAACAATTCAGCAAGTGTGCGTCTCCTTTTGTGAGGTTTGTTTATGCACAGTCAGCTCTCGAGGGGAGCAGGAGCGTCATAGAAAAAGTCAATTAGATTCACTCAAAAAAATGAACGAGGAAGGTTGTGCACTTTACATAATATATTTATATTTAGTTTACTTATAATGATTGTGTTTTTTGACTTAAAATGTTTTTTTTCTATTAAGGTCCACGCAATTATGTCTCAACTTAACAGTACAAAATCCTAACGCGTTGCCTAAACACAAACCATTTTTGTTAAGTAAAAAATTCAGCAATAGTGCGAGCCAACTGCCATTTTGCCCGAACTTAATTTGATTGTGTTCAATCTGCTTAAATATGTAACATTTACGTTTACTTAATCCGCTTGTGTTGGATTACATGATTGACTTGTGTTGCATTAACTGAAACTAGGAGGTGCTTGTTAGTTCCCAGCATGCTTTGCATATGGTTGAATTAAGAGAGAATAAATGTTCAAATGAAGTGTTATTTGATGTTTTTTTGAGAAAATGAGAAAAGGGAAGACTTGATAGTGCATAATTGTGTTTAATGTTCAATTACATTGCAATTATTAGTACCATTTAAATGACAGTGGGTTACCATTGTGGAGAAGAGCGGAGCATTTGGTTAGACTGAAAACTGATTCAGCAATAGTTTTTAAATTTGCTGACAATATTAAATTAAGCTGTTCCCAACCTTAGTAAATAAGTTGAATCAACCTTAATACATTAAGTTGACCCAACGTAAGTACATTAAATTGGAATAACAGAATTGCATAATGCTGAAATAAAGCAAGTTAATCATGTGGAAATCCTTTCCACGATTTTTTATGTTCATTCATCAAAGAGTTATTTTTTTGAGTGTACAATCTCTGGGTCGGAGACCTGGATAAGGGCAAGGGAATTGGGCCCGAGGCGGTGAAACAACTGTCATGTCAAAAAATGCCTCAATTCCAGACGGTTAATTGAACACTGTTGTGACGAGAACACACTTTTAGCCATAAAACAGCCATTAACTGTGTTCTTGAGGTTGCAGTCGATACTCGATCGAGCCTTACTATCTCTCTGTGCTCCCATGGCAAAAATAAATGGCCTGTTTAAAATGATATATAGCCCTAGTGTGTCTTGGAGACGGTGAAGTAGCAGAAGATCTCTTACCTGCCCAGTGTTCATCACACACAGTGAACAGACTGGTTTTGTTGGTCAGCTCTGGCAGAAGACTGCTGCACTCCATGACTATAGCTTGAGGAATCATGATCACACAGGAAACCAGCCAGATCAGAACGATACTCTTGCGGGCTCTTTTGGCAGTGCTCTTGAACTTCAGCGGGTGGCAGATGGCGTACCAGCGATCCTGGGCAATGCAGCTCAGAGTCAGGACCGACACCGACACCGAGATCGTCTAGAAAGCAATAGACAGGAGATGGAGAGCCACAAACCACAGTGTGAAACAAGAATTATGACCAGACAAAGAACGCTTACACATTATTTGAAGGTGTCCTTGTTACATTATAATTATACATTTAAGTACGGAGTAATATTATTATGTAAGAAAGTAATTCCTGCTATTCTGTACAGTAGCACCTCAATGTAGTACACGAGATCCAGGGGGCGGAGTTGGATCCAGATCTAAGGGGTGGAGTTGGGTAGGGTTAGGGGTGTGGTTAGGGATCAGGGGGCGGAGATGGGTAGGATTAGGGGTGGAGTTAAGGATCAGGGGGCAGAGATGGGTAGGATTAGGTGTGGGGTTAGGGATCAGGGGGCAGAGATGGGTAGGATTAGGGGTGGAGTTAGGGATCAGGGGGCGGAGATGGGTAGGTTTAGGTATATGTAAGGGGGGAGGAGTTGGATCTGGATCCAACTCCTCCCCCTGGATTTCGTGTTCTGCAGTGAGGACCATCTCATTCTGTACTCTGTCATATGCTAATTGTTATACTAGATAAAATATCAATCTCACAATTTAATAGTTTTACTTGATCAAAATACCACGATTAAGTGAACTTAGGGATGAATATAAAATAATTTAAAAACTTGCAGACTTATTATGTCCAATAACATGTGCAGTGAAAAAACTAATAATTAGAAATCATTTCTTCATTTGTTCCCTTTCTCTAAATGAAATGTTTAAAATAAAACATGCTTTCTTAGAAATTTGTGTTGGTAAATAATGTATAGGTTTTAACTATATCCTCAATATTAATTTCCATTGTCTTTTGTACAAATCCATACATTTTCTTGATGACATCATCTTTGATGGGAATTACACAGAACAAATATCGGCAAGTATTAGCAATGGATTTTTTTTTACAAGGTACTGTGACTGGTTTACATAAAACGAGGAAACATATTAATATAACATGCTCACGATTTAACAAATTAATAAACAGCATGAATAACTTGGGAACAGGCATGACCCAAAGAATGTTGTTTATGCGCCAAAATGTAGCTGTGAAATAATTAGTTGACATAGAGAATTTAAGTTGATATTTCAATAATTGAATGACACATTTGCAAATTCCTAGTATTATCGGTTAGTGGTCGCAAGTAAATAGATAAAATATTTCATCTTCACTTATATTACAGTTACTACTAATATTAGTAAGTGTTTTATTTTGTTTATGCAGCTGGGCTTTATGGAATCAAACCTCTTTATAGTTGAGAGGAAATTTTAGGAACCCAATCAAAGTGAATCATAATAATAATAATTATTATTATTAATAATTAAAACAGGGAACAAGTTACAGAGCTCCTCCTTTAAAGAAGAATTCCGGCGCAAAATGAACGCACGGCTTTCGTGGTTCGACTGGTCGAGTCTGTTTTCCAAAGTTTGCTCCTGTCTGTTTACGCGAAGTGTGCTGTCTTTATAAAGTATCTTCTTATTAAACGGTCTGTACACTTACCAAGTTCTCAATGCTTCGGTTTGCATGTAGGGACCCTCATTATGCTACCGTGTTAGTGTTGGGCTATTTTAAGCGTTGTTAGTGCTATTAACTGGCGATTTATTTTTACTTACTCTATGCCATATATTCTAGCGTTATAAGCTAATCAGTGGTTCGAGCTAAAACTGGGTACATTCGATTAGCATGAAAACACACGCAGAGAACAGTCGACTCGGTACCCATGTGTTATTAACCGCTAGGTTCATTTTAAGGCTCCTTTAAGAAGTGGATACCAGACACTCCCAACAAAAACAAAAAAAGAGAAAAACAATGAATGCATGCATGTGTTGCGCTGATGTAGATGAAGCATTCCAGATTGGATCAGTTTGAAACTCACTGATATCCATTTTCAGTCAATATAAATGTGGATTGTATTATAGAAATTCCATTTCTAAAAGAGCAGTACCCTATTTAAAAACAACAGGACGTCAGATGACATGATTATCGCTCGATTTTCGATGCGTGTCTTCTGTGCAAATTGGTCAATTTCCAACAGATATGCTTATTGAAGTGCTCCACACTGCATATGTCTGAATGCATCTGCATAGCATCTATAGAGACTTCATCCTGTAGTCCTGCTCAAGTGGAACTATTTTAATGTTCTGGCTTTACTCAAAATGTCAGCTTGAAGAAGTTTGAGCTTTAGTGTCTGGGATGCATTTGAAACAATCCTACATTATACTGGCATCAATCAAACATGACTCTATTTGAGGGTCAAAAGGCATGAATGTGATTGGAAACTACTGATTTTATTCAGGCATATGTCAATACTTGAAGCAGATGCAGGCATGGCTCACAGCTGCTTCTTCAGTCTTGATAACTTCAAAACTCTCATTAAAATTCAGTTCTCCAACTAGCGAAGATTACTATGCCCATCAGGGATAGAGAAGAAACAACAGTACTTGTAGCTTTCAAACTGTGAAGGGTATGTCAGCTGAAATATTACAGATGATCCATCAGGTCCTTCCAAGACAGAAGGTTGAGTAAATGTGTTCCTTAAAAATGACCAGAAGATCATGTTGTCATTCAGGAACTCCATCAGTTCCATCAAATGGTGTTGACAAGCATGTAATTTATGGCAGTGCATCTCAATCTCAAAAAAATTAAATAAAACATAAAAAACTTTCAAAGAGCTTAAGCCGTTTACGTGATTTATTGACTGCGAAGCAAAGCAATAACTTAAAAAAAGCACAAACAGCCTTGAGCAGTCGAATCTGTGTTAGTTCTACTGATGCGTCAGAAGTTGCAGATGTGCAAGATCAAACATGTCATAATTCACAAATGTGTCAAAACATTTGAAACTTTATTTAGATGCATATGGCTTCCTATGAAAAGAAACCCAAAAATATAGTGGCAAATGAATTGATAAAAGTCCATACATTATCCGTTTCCTTACCTGTAAGTAAGGTAGTATCTTGCACAGGGTCTGTCCCAAGAACCAGGTTTCTGTAATGTCCACCACAAGACTTGCAGGAAGACATGTGATTGTGACTAGGATGTCTGCGAAGGACAGGTTCACGATGAAGTAGTTGGTCACAGTGCGCATGTGATGGTTTTTCCAAACTGCAAAACAAACTGAAATAAAAGATGCCATGAGTAATAGTGTTTTCAAAAAAGTGTGGCTGTAAAAATTGTTGCATGAATTATCACATTGATTTGAATAGGATTAGTTTGTACCATATTGATATAAAGATTGTAACAACTGATATGTTCTTTTACATTGTTTTGCCCATGCCCATTCAGCAAAGATCAACTGGAGCCTCAACAGATTGCATCAGGACATGCAAGGATAAAACTAAGGCTATGTTCAGACAGTGCAGTCTCATCCCAAGACGTCATATAACTGACGTCTTGGGACGTCTTTTGACCATACGTCAATATCCGCCTTTTTAGGGTACCCTTAAACGTCGGTTAGATGACGTTATCGGATCCTAACTCTACCCCAGACCTAAACCTACCCCTAAACCTACCCCGTCACCTAACTGACGTTAAAGGTAAAGCGTCAGTTGTATGACGTCCCAGGATCGTCATAAACCGACGTTTAAGGGTACCCTAAAAAGGCGGATATTGACGTATGGTCAAAAGACGTCCCAAGACGTCAGTTATATGACTTCTTGGGATGAGACTGTGTTGGTTCAGACTGTCAGTCCGAATTCAATTTTTGTGTATATTCGATCGAAATCTGATCAGAATTATCTAATGTGAACAGCAAACAATCACATGAATGCGATTTTTACAAATCTGTTTCAAGCTACATCCATGTCCAATGTAACCATGGTTCCCTGAGAAGGGAACGAGACGCTGCGTCGATGACGACACTTTAGGTAATCCTTTCAGCGCCAACGCTCCTGATGTCACATGTGCAACTTTGTCCAATCTTGATTGGTGCAACGTCATCCCGTGACGCGTGCCGGCGAAATGCAGAAGCTATAAAGAAGCCGGTATCACAGCTGTTGTCAGCCTTCTGATCGGCTGAAGCAAGCCGCTCCCAGGTGTGCAAGGAAGCATGGCAAAGGGACGCAGCGTCTCGTTCCCTTCTCAGGGAACCATGGTTACATGGGTAACCTGAGACGTTCCCTTTCGAAGGAACTCGCGTTGCGTCGATGATGACACTTTGGGGAACGATATGCCCACTCAAATCCCTCCCCTAACTCCATCTGTGATCCCCACGAGTGAAGCCACCGGCAACCGCGAGACCCGCACCATGTGGGGCACAGAGCTGGCCGCTTTGATCGCCAGCCGGGAGCGAAGCGTTCTGAGAGGCAAAAGCTCGCAGTGCTCACACTCAACCCCCTCGAGGGCTGACCGAGCATGCTCTGCTCCCAAACAACTAACACACAGATTACATGGATCCCCATCTGGAATATAGCGAGGACAGGGATGAACACACTTTCTGTATTTATGTTGTTCACTCGCCATTTTTATATATATACTCACCTAAAGGATTATTAGGAACACCATACTAATACTGTGTTTGACCCCCTTTCACCTTCAGAACTGTGTGGCATTGATTCAACAAGGTGCTGAAAGTATTCTTTAGAAATGTTGGCCCATATTGATAGATGCTCTATTGGGTTGAGATCTGGTGACTGTGGGGGCCATTTTAGTACAGTGAACTCATTGTCATGTTCAAGAAACCAATTTGAAATGATTCGAGCTTTGTGACATGGTGCATTATCCTGCTGGAAGTAGCCATCAGAGGATGGGTACGTGGTGGCCATAAAGGGATGGACATGGTCAGACACAATGCTCAGGTAGGCCGTGGCATTTAAACGATGCCCAATTGGCACTAAGGGGCCTAAAGTGTGCCAAGAAAACATCCCCCACACCATCACACCACCACCACCAGCCTGCACAGTGGTAACAAGGCATGATGGATCCATGTTCTCATTCTGTTTACGCCAAATTCTGACTCTAACATCTGAATGTCTCAACAGAAATCGAGACTCATCAGACCAGGCAACATTTTTCCAGTCTTCAACTGTCCAATTTTGGTGAGCTCTTGCAAATTGTAGCCTCTTTTTCCTATTTGTAGTGGAGATGATTGGTACCCGGTGGGGTCTTCTGCTGTTGTAGGCCATCCGCCTCAAGGTTGTGCGTGTTGTGGCTTCACAAATGCTTTGCTGCATACCTCGGTTGTAACGAGTGGTTATTTCAGTCAAAGTTGCTCTTCTATTAGCTTGAATCAGTCGGCCCATTCTCCTCTGACCTCTAGCATCAACAAGGCATTTTCGCCCACAGGACTGCCGCATACTGGATGTTTTTCCCTTTTCACACCATTCTTTGTAAACCCTAGAAATGGTTGTGCGTGAAAATCCCAGTAACTGAGCAGATTGTGAAATACTCAGACCGGCCCGTCTGGCACCAACAACCATGCCACTCTCAAAATTGCTTAAATCACCTTTCTTTCCCATTCTGACATTCAGTTTGGAGTTCAGGAGATTGTCTTGACCAGGACCACACCCCTAAATGCATTGAAGCAACTGCCATGTGATTGGTTGATTAGATAATTGCATTAATGAGAAATTGAACAGGTGTTCCTAATAATCCTTTAGGTGAGTGTATATACATATATACACACAGTATGTATAGTCTATGGGACAGACAACACCAAATAAGACTTAGACAGACAGAGAGCGCTTGCTGAAGATCAGAAAGCTGACAACAGCCTCCTTCGGTTCTGCCGCTGCCTCAGAAGACACATAGTCCAGCGCGGTGGCTACACATTTCCATGTTGTAAAATTTAAATGAGACATCTCTATTGCAAACCCGTCCATGTTGCGGTTGTTGTTGTTTTGGGGTATTCCTACCAACGCAACATCATTGCCATAGAAATCATTGTCCACAGTGTGGACATTAATAATTTTAGATCAGATAACAATTGGATACACAAATAATCGGATTTGGACTGACAGTGTGAGCGCAGCCTTAGTCTCATCAGTTGATGCAACCCCATTTCCAGAAAAGTTTTGTAAAATGCAATAAAATCAAGAATCTGTGATTTGTTAATTCCCTTTAAACTTTATTTAACTGACAAAAGTACAAAGAAATGATTTTCAATCACTGACCAACTTAAATGTATTTTGTAAATATAAACTAATTTTGATTTCAATGCCTGCAAAACACTCCAAAACAGCTGGAAAGTTTTGCAAGTGGATTTTTTGCCCAATCTCGCCTGATACAAGGCAGCTGCTCAACAGTCCTTGGTCGTCGTTGTCTGATTATACTTTTCATGATGAGCCATACATTTTCAGTAGGAGACAGATCAGGGCCCGTATTCATAAAGATTATAAGAATCCTCTCAGAAAACTCTTAATTTAGTGTCACGGCCGGCTCTAAGCCGCGACAAATGAGGGAGGCAACGAGAACAAAAGCCAGTCAAAGAGATTTTATTAACAATAAAGAATAAGCTACGTAATTAACGCAAAACACAATAAACACGTTCCAATAACACAGGCCTGTAAACATAACTTCCCAAACTAAAACTAATACATAAAGCAAACAAATAACAACTAAAACAACAACCCAAACTAACAGAAAACCAGAGGGTAACCGAAGCCACCTCAAGTCAGAGAACCATTACCTTTTATAACCTTCTGCAGGTGTTTCACATTAATTACCTCAGTAGGACGGGCCTAGAGGCACGTCACATTAGCTTAAAAACTTTTCCGTAGGAGTCTTAGCTTAAGAGCGATTCGGGACCGATCTGAAAGCAACTCCGAGGAAGGAAAAGACAAATACTTTCAGTGAGGAGGCGGGGTTGACCCCGTTGCTAGGTATGACACAATCTTTTGAAGACTGTGATTGGTTGGTTGTCCAATAAGGAAAAAAAAAGAGCAATCTTAAGTATATGGTCGTCTACTCACACACACATTATATATATATGTATATAAATCCTTTTTTCTTTTTTACCATGCTGTTAATTTCCTATATGGTATTTGATTGGCTCAGAATGATAAAAATTGTTCCACTCTTTCCAATTACACTGATTGCTGTCTATGTAAGTGGTGGTTTTAATGTTGCTTTTAATGTAGCAAACATGGAATCAAAAACAAGAAGGATAAGAAAGCCCAACTAGACAGAGGAACTGTGGTTACTGTTAGCCCAGTTAGTGGATGAAAACAAGGCCATCCTTAAAGGAAAATTCGGGCCGTGTGTCACAGCACGGGGCAAGAAGCCGACGTGGGAGCTTATAACGCACATTATAAACGGTTCATTCCCCCAGCTTGTGCGCACCAGGGAAGCCTGCTATATTCATAAATGCAGTTTTTTTGAGCCTGCAAGGTGGGAATGTCCAGTCGAAACGAAATGAACTGCGACACAATAAGAGGCTCTGAAAGTGCTGTAATGTTTGTGTGATCACTCTGCTTACAGAATCTTTTGATACAACCAAATCCTCACTGCTGCATTGTTGCATTTTCCCAGTTGCCAAATATCTTAATGTAGTGATTCATTTCTGGCGCTATGGCCTTTTCTGCGCTGTGTCTGAGATGTTAGCGTGTCTCTAATAAGATCTGTCACAAACATGATCCCTGCACGATCTAATCTATAGCATCTTATTAACTCACTGTCATCCATTGTCTGCAAAACATTTCTTCTCCCTCTTTGTCTTTCTGTCATTTTCTCCTCTGCTAAAGAAACTCTTAAGCCTCTTAAAAGTCCTCGTCCGTACTCCTAACAATTTTGACCTTAAGACCTCTTTTAAATGTTAAGATGCTTTCTGAATTACTTTTTTCTTAACTAGGATTTTTGAGGCCTGTCATTGGCATCTTGCTTCCCGGGAAAGATGTCATCTTGATGCTATTAAATGTCTCTGTACAATCCCAATATACTCCTCCATGTCAGTGGTGCCTTCAAACACACATGCAAGTCACCCATCCCATGACAGTTGTTTGCCACAGCACACATTGCCACTGTAATTTAGAGCATCTGAGATGCGCTGGTGCCCAGAGAACTCAACGGTATCTCTGCATAGAACTGATGTGTAACTTTCTCCTTGCGCAACAGTCTTAAGTTTCATTTCTTGATGCAGTGGTAGACTGTGTTAAGTGACAACGGTTTTCCAAAGTAATCCC